ATCCTGCCCCTGCAGAGAGCCCAGATCTGTACACACTGTCCAACTACTCCACTTCTCTTACTGGGGCCTGGTGGGAGGCGAGGAGGTTAGGAGGGAGATGGCCTTGCCCAAGTCCACGATCCAGCGTATGTCTTGTGCGAAATGAGTGAAGTGGGTATATGAGGTGGTCTGGGGGCCTCTCTGATTACTCCCACCAACAGAGGGGCTTGTTGACTGCCGGCCTCTCTGTTTCATGAAGGCCATTCTCAGGACCCTGCCTAAGCAGTACTCCTGATCACTTTAGTTTCTGTGGCTGCCAAGATGCCATAGCAACTGGGTCATGGGACTCAGGATCGGAGGGCAGCATTGCACAGCCCGTGCAGCCTGGAGGATCAGTGCTCAAGCTGTGCGGAATCCTTGGTGTTTTCCTGCAGAGTGACAGCTCCTCAGGGTGGGAATCTTGTTTCCCAGTCCTGGGCTTCATGGTGTGACAGGAAGGTCACCACCTGCCCACCCAACTCCCCAGACTGGGGAGGGAGGGATGGGGATCTGTCTGGATATAGGGGTCCTCAAACTGTGGCATTGGGCTCCCATGCTCACGTGGCTTCCCTGACTTCCCTTCCTCCCCTGGGGTTAGCAGGAATGGATTGAGGATCAGGGAGCAGACCTTCCTTGGGCATCCCGAGGCACCTCACACCGGGGTACCATCGGGCTCTGGGTACTCTCTATCCTCTTAGGGAGAATAGAGGCGCTGCCTTGTCTTCTAAGTAGTCTGCATCAGAGGCTGGTGGGGAAGATGAGAAAGTGATGAGCCGCCGCCCCACCACCTCCCCACTGTTTTTGCTCATAATTCTATCCCTAGCTCCCAGCACAGCATAGTAACAATAATAACAGTAACAGCCAATGTTTATGTAGTATATAGATTGTAAAAGACTCTGCTATGAATTTGTTCAGTCCTCACAATAGCCCCACAAGAACGCAGGTATTATGATTATCCCCAATTTTCCACATTAGGAAACTGAGGCACGGAGAGGTTGGATGACTTGCATAAGATCACACAGCTAGTGAGTGGCGAAGCTGAGTTCCAAACTCAGCCATTGTGACTTGGAAGTCTTGAACTTCACCACCAGGCTATGCTGCCTCTCGGCATAGCTGCATTTAGATGCATGTTAGTTGAATAAATGGATTTCATCTTATTCATAACTCCAAATACATGGAATTTAATTTTTGCCTTTCTGTGGGCAACCAGAAAAGGTAGGGTAAAACAGTGTGTCTTCTTTAGTGTGCCAGGGCCCACCAGGAAGCCACCCACCCAGAAGAAAGTGCATTAGATCTGGGCCCGCGTGTCCTTCCTGAAGAGAAGACATTCGTGGGCCCATGAACGACTGCATTGGAGTGCCCTCTTTGGTCGCCCACCCACCCTGAGGCGTGGTATGGAGGAGGAAGCTCGGGGCCACAGGGTGTCTTTCAGAGCACTCATCCTCAGATCTGAGCCTGGGAGACCCTGAGTCTCCTAGAAAAGCCAGCTTGCCCTCTCGAGATCCTTTCTGGGTATAGGAACAGGCCTTCCTGTGCTCTTAGAAAATCCATTTGTAGAGTAAAACCTCGTGATTGTGGAAGAAAGTTTAGACCCTGTGGAAAATCCTGATACCCACTGCAGAAGCCTTGTCTGACCTTGTGCAGGAGGTCTCAGCGTGGATGCTTTTCAGAGCCTGGGACTGACAGAGATAGATAAGCAAGGGATCCTATTCACTGTGTCCTGGACGTGCAGTTTCTTTGTCCAAAACCTCTGCTTATTTTGTTTGGCTACAGGCCAGACCTACTTCCTTCCTCTGCCTCAGGTGCCCATGAAGCACGACTGGATTGGTAAATTAAGAATTTGCCTGACGGAAAGGACTAATTTTTCCCCCTTTCAAAATCCTGGGCATGACAGTTTTTTGCACGCATTCTACTGGACACACGCAGCATTCATAATATAGAACATCGAGACATCATAAAGGTTTCACATCTTTCATGTGGTAAATATTTTTACTGTCATGCTCCAGAAATGGATTTTGTTTGAAAATGGCCTATTTCCTTTGATGGCTTCTTTGACATGGATTCAAAGCCTTTTCTGATCCTGCGAAGGCCCGGGGTTGGGAGGGCCTGTTTGTTAACTTTTTTCGAAGGACAAATCCATTTCTCCCTGCTGCAGTACAGCTGCAGCTGCTGGGGCTGGGAGATTTACGACTGAGGACAGCAATGAAAATATGTCCGGTGAGCTGACAGCTGCTGGGAGTGATGGCATCTCAGTCCTGGGCCACCTCAGCTGGGCACCCCGGAGCAGATGAGCAGACCCCAAACTCACTGGGGCCCTGGCTCACATTTATCCTTCTCCACTGTAAATTGCACTTAAAGATTCAGATGTGGCCTATTTATCCCGAGTGGAGCCCCATCATATTTGCTCTTGTAAGTTTGTTTTTACAAGTGTTCTTCTCTCATCTTTGAAATGACACATTTTTAATGGTCTTGCTACACGTGGTGAGCAGCCACTTGGGAGTAGAGAATCTGTTTTCAGGATAAAATTTTGCAGACTGCTGCAAGTGTCTGTAACTGTGTGTGTGTGTGGCTGAGTGTGTGTGCCCATGTGTGAGGATACAGACAGTGGTAACTGAGTCAAATGGGAACTCTGCTCTCTTCTGGGAGCCTGAGTTAACATCCCAGGGTCTTGTAATTAACACCGTCTTCCCTCTATACCTGCACAGCACCTCTTACCTTCCTGCTAGCCTAGTACAAAGGTCGCAGGTGCTTTCTGTGCATCTAGACCCAGGCACCAATACTAGTAAGGGTTCTTTGAGGGAGGGAGTTTGCCAGTTTGCCCAGAGTTCAGGCTCTGAGGTTTGGCTGCTTTAGAGGTACAGGAAATCCTCATTCATTGAACAGGTTGCCTTTTCCCAGAGCCACTGTGCAGGAACCTCATGGGTGGTGGAGGGAGCCCTGGGCAGGAAATTAGGGCATCCAGGGGTTTTGTCTACTTTCCCAGTCCTAAAATCGGCTGCCTAGCTGTTTGACTTCAGGCAAGGCATTTAACCTCTTTAGACTTTAGTTTGTTTACAGCATAAAGGAATTGAACTAGAGGCCTAATGGTTCCAATGAACATTCTCCTTCTGGGAGGCCACCAGTCCCTGTGTGAGCCAGAATCAGTGATCTGAGCCACCTTAGAATCATGGCATTTTCAAACAAGAAAGGATCTTACAGATTACCTTGTATTTTCTGATGAGACCAAAAGGGAGGGAAGGACTTGTCTAAGGCTTCACAGGGAGTGAGCTGAGAGCAAGAACTAGAAAGGAGGCCTGTTACTCCCAGTCTGGTGTTCCCTCCTCTGCAGCCATGGTTCTCAGAGAGGGGACCCTGGACCAGCAGCCTCAGAAGTCCCTCATAATTTGCTAGAAATGCAGATTCTCAGTCCACACCCCAGACCTGCTGAATCAGAAAACTCCTGGGTGGGACCTAGCAATCTGTAATTTAACAAGCGCACTGGGTGGAGTCCGACGCTTGCTGGATATTTGGAAACCACTGTTCTACAGTGTGCTGCTGCCCTTTAAGACCCAATGAAAAACACTGGAAACCAGTGGGCTTCCCAGGAGAGGCTGTTTGGAACAGAGAGCAAAGGATAGAGTAATATTAATGAGAAAATGTACACATGATTTTCATGGCTTAATTCAGGCTGCAGGTTTCCTAAAGCAAGAACATCCCAGCACCTGCAAGCAAGCCACAGCTTCTGCAGGCATCTGACCTTGGCCTGCAGGCTGTGCCACTGCAAAGGGCTATATTTCTTGCTCCCCATTGAGCCCAGGTGTCAGGAGAAGCATGCCACATTAACATCAATAGGGTTGGGCCAGCAAGTTCATTCCAAGAAATTGGTGTGTGGAAATAGTGTGTTATGTGTGAACAGTGGGGCGTATATTTAGATGTCCGAGTGCTCAGCTCCAGGCTGTTAGCTCTCGAAGGGTGGGGGGGGGGGGGGGGGGGGGGGGGGGGG